CTGAAAAACAGTTACAAATACTATGTACAGGTAAAATGTCTTTATTTGAATTAAGCCAAATTTAATTTAAAGCCAGTAAATAGCCACTTCTGGCAAAAGAGACAAGAGCAAAGATCTCACAGAGATTGGTGGGAAATTTTGTCTGCTACCTTCTCTGACAGTGTTAAAATGAATTATAATCATCAAGTGTATCACAGACTATTTCTAGTTCACAAACATACAAAAATTCAAGCTGTTCCTAAAACTCAGTGAAGATTTTCATGCAATTTAGAGTGAATTCCAATTCAAAAAGTCTGCAAAGTTATAACTACTTAAAGACTTGTCAGGTAAGGTCTGAATGAAGTCTAACTTGTTTCTCGTGAAGATAAACTTCATGTCTTTGGCCTTTGAAATCAGGATCTAAGAAACCTCAACAAGATTCTGGATCAACAAAACTATTCTTCTAGTAAAGTTTTATTGATGAATTTAAATAAATACATAAATGACACTTTGGCTTTATGACTGAGTGCTGAATCAACCTGATAATTACCAATGTGGCATGCCTTTAGGGAAGAAGACTAGTGCTCTTCCATTACAAAGGCAATATATTGTACCTTTTGAAAAGCCAGTGATATTAGCACTAACATATTAAATTCCTAATATTCTTCTAATTGATTAAAGGGGTTAGCCCATTTATTCCAATAACAGTTATTTGTTAATAAAGATTTGTTTCTAGACAGTTCAGTTTTTTTCTATTTTTTAAATAGAAAAAAAAAAAAGAACATGTATATAAACCTGTATTTCAAATAACTGGAAGCAATGGGAAGTTATTCTCATTGAAAACAAAGACAGCAAGTTTTGATAAAAAGTTGATCTTACAAATGTTATGTAGATTTTCTCATATACACAACTTTCCGCCATTTATCTACAAATAAGAAACAGTTACAAAATAATATTTAAAATAGCTAAGAAAGGTGATGCCCATCAATAAAATTTCATTATTAAATTGTTAATGATGAAAGTCTGATTTCTTTTATTTGCTCTGAGTTTTCAAAGAGAGTTTGAGAATTTTGACAGTAGCTCAAATATTTGAGCTTCTATTCATTGTTTTTATTCAGTAGCTAATTTAGTTGTAGCTTAAAAAGAAACAAAAAAAAAAAGAAGAAAAAAAACCATAACAAAATAAAGATATAAAATAAAGTGCATTTGAGGTTTTTAAATAAGTAGGGGCAATATTGTGTGGACTATTCTAGGAACCACACAATACTAGCTAAAGTGATGCATCTCAGGAAGAGTGACACTGTACTATCAGTGAGAATCACTACTGGAGTTTAGAGGGAAACTAAGATTGCCCTTTTACATCTTTTAAAAATTGTGTGAAAGAACATCTCTGTGGTGATCACTGTCAACACTAATATTGTGTCTGTGTTGTTGAGCATTCAGGCAACACCAGCAAACTAAAAAGAAAAACAATCCTGCCCTGTCTCTTCACTGTATAATTCTCACTGATGCTGGTGGATGTCCTAGCGGTAGAGAGGGTAAAGGATAAGGTCACAAGATAATGAATTTAACTCTAGGTTTTTAAATGAGGGAGGTTGAATTTGGAGGTGTTTTTTTTTTGTTTGTTTGTTTTTTGTTTTTTGTTTTTTTTTTTTTAAATGGCATCTTTTTCTTCCTTGGGGAGATCTGCAGGCTGTGGCTTTTTGCCTTTGAACATCCTCAAGTCAAGCATCAAGAAAAGGTGATGAGGGTTAGGGAGGCTCCCTTGACATTTGGTGCACTGGCATCAGCCTTTGCAATTATGGGCCACCTTTCTAGCAGACGGTAATTGAAAAGTGTGAACCACATGGGCTCTAGTCAATAATAGCGTCAGCATACAAATGATACTCTGAGCTTTCTGTGTTCACCATTCACTGTTTTTGCTTTTCACCTTTTATCCTTCTCAGCATCATGACTTAATCCAGTCTAATGAGGTGATCTTTATTGCCAAAAATCAGCAGCAACACAGCTCTCTTCTGGCACCACTTGGGGTTTGTAAGTAGTCAAAAAATAGTGAGTCTGTCAGCTTTCCAAAAGGGCGGACAGTGCACCTTTTGAAATGTTCTTAGCTTTTTGAGCTCTCTTTTGAGCACAGGCTTCTTCCACACTTGCTAAGGAATGCATGCCACCTTCATACAACTTTTTCATCATTAAGGCAGCACCAACCCAAGGTGGCCAGAGCATTTGAGCTAGCTTAGTACATGCCTCTCTTAGCTTGAAGGTCATTATTGGTGGCCACATGTCACTATTTACAAACAGCAGGTGACTGCCCACAGTGGTGAGTGTGAATTTCCTTTGCTCTCTTTTCCTTACCCATCTGTCCATGTTTCTGGAATTGTAAGTATCTGCTTGTACAAAAAGCTTCTGAAAAGACATACTAAGATATTGTAGGTGACAGGAAGATACAGGAAGTAACCAGCTATTTCTGAGTGACTAAAAGGAAAACAATTAATTTTACAGGGTTTTTATTCTTTTCTTTTGTCACAAACATTTTAATGTAAGGTCGCAGAAGAGTACATTGTCTATGTAGCACTTACAAAGACCTGGAATTAATGAATTTTGTCTAGCAATGGGTTTTTCATCAGACTTCAAAATGGACCCAGAAGCAAGACCTATGGGTGTCAGTAATAAATACATGCCCTAATAAAAATATAAAACAATCCATATTAAAAACAAACACAGTGTAATTGTAATTGTTGATCCTTAGAAATGGTATGGTATCCTTATCAACAATTTTAGCTGCAATGGCAATTTCAATTTTTAAGATGGGACAAGAGGGTGAGGATGTGTGTGTTTGGGGGAGGAGGGAGCGGGGGGGGGGAATGGAGAGAGACAAAGAAATATAACGGAAAGTATTACCATGGGATTAGATCACGTGGCTTTAATACATATATATACAACTGAGAAAAGCAGAGAATTTTGCCTCTTACTCTCCTTGGACCTCTTTCTCCCCTTTCTTCATCTCTAATCTGTGTTTTTTTTGTTCCCCCCCCAGTTCCTTTTGATCTATTAGGGACAGGCAAGTCAGCTCTGTAAGTACAGATGGAGTAAATATGGAGATTAGCCTCTTCTCGTACTGCATTAGCTCCTAATACCTGATTAAGCCCAGAATCATGCAATTGTCTCCGTGTTGGCTATCAGAGTGGCAGAGCACAGAAGGGGGCAGGATGAAGGCTGATTTTGTAATGGATACTTATTTTATCCCAGTGCTCTAAGAAGATTAGGCCTGGGGGTGTCACATTAGCCATGATCTCTGGGCCTTTGGTAGTCTCTTGCAGTTTTCAAACACCTTAGCTTCAGCCATAGAACAAACAGGCAGCTTGGACACCGTGGCCCCATGTTGTGGCATGAATAATTGCACACTGCAAACTGTTTGAAGATCACAAAGTGCTGTGTAAATTACCCAGTTTGGGCTTAGTAGAAGTGATTTGTGGTGACTTACTGAATCTTTTCACAGTTCAGCATTAAACTTTCCACACTTCCCACTATCTCAGATGGAATGAAGGTTGAGTCGTATCTTCCTTTATTCTTATCAGTTCAATCTTTGTAAAGCCAGTTTGTATAAACTGCTGTACTATATGCAAACTGTGCATGCAGTACTTTGGTAAAAGTTCAATTTTATTTATCTGAAACACCAAAAGATGTCTATTCAACATAAACCTTAAATCAGCTCATGTGAAGAATGTAAGGATGTGTTCAAAACCATCTGTATAATACATGCCAAAATAGTACGTGTGAAAACCTGAATTTGTTTCTTTTTATTGAAGTTTCTTGCAAGATTTTTTTTTCTTTTTGTTTAGAATTAAGATTCAACTTTATCAATGAGCAAGCAAAGTCAAAAAAAAAAAAAAAGAGAGTGACTTTTCACTGAGGAAAAATGTGAACTCTACTCTAAACTGAAACTTGGAATATGGGATTTAGAAAAGGAAAAGGGGGAAAGGGGGAAAAGGGGGAGGGAAAAGAAATGCATCTGTTTATTGTTTGTTTTTCATTTTTTTCTTCATCAATTAATGTTGGTGCTTTTTATCACTAAGGAGTAAGAAAACTAAAAACAAACCTTTGAGATGCATGGACACCCAGACGTGCACATATCTATGCACACACAAAATATGTGCAAGACTAGAATCTCCCGTTGTAAACCAGCAAGAAAATTAAACACCTGAAGCAGCTTCTACACACTACTGAAAGTGAATACTGAAATTGATGTTCATATCCTAGAGGATTTAAAGCAAGTGATCGCTAACAGTTTAACAGGAATGTTCAAATGCCATCCTTAGGAGAGATAAGCACATGCTAAGTGTGAGACACGAGTCTTCTAAACACAGTACATATTGCATCAGGTAAAATATTTTGAAAGAAAGAGAAGATGCAGAAAAATAATTCAGAAAGTCTTTATATACCTTTCAATTTGCTCTGCTTATCAGAGAAGCAGAATTTCTCCCCCCATCCACATGATAAATATATATTTTTGATCTGCAAATTGAGGAAGAACTATGCTGGATTGATAAATCGTGGGCTACATTACATTAAAAGAAAAAAAAAAAAAAAAAAAAGCCTCAAACCAAAAATCTGATATACCGCTCCGCCTATATTTTTGTTTGTGAGCCTATCTTATGTCCTCCATATCAAATACATACTATACAATCTAAATTTATCACAAATGTGTAAGGTATATCTAGAAGAAACATTATGGAATTTCCTGACTTCTACCAAACAATAAGAGACAGGTAAATATACATTAAAATTAACTTATGAATAGAAAAATAGCGAGATTATAAATTATTGTACAGACAATAATGCTCACAAATATGTTCAAGTACCTGGAAGACTTTGTTATCTGGTGAAGAACCCTTAAAATTCAAGCAGAGCTTTCTTTTTGCCTGAGAGAGGGTAGACACGTAAAATTTAGAACTGGGTGAGAAGCTTAAGAGTTTTTCGGCCTTTTGGACTGAATAGGTGAAGTTTTTTCTCATGTTTCTTACCTTGTAAACGAATAGAAAAAAAACTTCTGGGACTTGACCAAATCATCTTGTACTCTTCACAGTAAATCCTATTTAAGTGAGAAAAGATAATTTCAGTAGGAACCCAAAAGCGCTCAGAAACAATGGAATTGCCTGTGAGGCATAGTACAATGGAGTACGACCACAATTTGGAAGAGAATCCTAATTTTCTGATCCTCACTGGTGCTCTGAAAAACAGAGAAATCCACCAAGATATGGAGCCATTTTCCTTGTGTGTTAGTTTTTTAAAATGTCAGGAAGATATTTTGAACTTTGTCCTAGTGGGACCCTTTTTTTCCAAGGATTCTCCTAGACCTCATGTACACCAAGCCTGTCCTGTCCCACGACATTCAAATTAATAAATATAACAAAAATAAATAAATAATAAAATTACTTGTAAATAAATATAATATAGAAATAGTAAAAATACATGTAAATAAATATGATAAATATATTCGACCGAAATTATTAAAGCAACCATATTAGTTAACTTACGACTCAGTAACATTTAAACCAAATTGAACACAATTCATAACTGTTGTATATCTTTCCTTATAAAGGCATTATTCATACATTTCTTAGATAAGCATTTAAACTCAACAGCTGCCAAAGTAAAGATTAATAACAGCAATACATTTATGACACAACAAGAGATAGTGTATAATCATTCGGTTCTGTGAGCTTTTTAATGCTGAAAATACAATATAAATTACTCAGAAGAGTAATTATAATCTGTTTAGGGAGAGATATATTAATGAATAGTATATTTTTTAAAAAAAGAAACTCTGTAAAATGGTCGGTTTTAGTCTGATGATTTTTATATTAAAAGAGATAACCATAATTTGTTCTCTACCTCTTTCGGAAGGCAGATTCACTCAGACAGCCTTTGATTATTCAGCATGGTAATCTTATTGTTTTAATATTTTAGCAATAAAAGTGAAGATGAAAGAGAAAATCCTGTAGTTAATGGTTACATCACTTAGGTTTTGGGAACTATTATATTTTATGTATATAAACCAGTTTGAATTAATTGATATGAGACCAATAAAGGTGGAGAGATATATGTTGATTGTATAACTTTCAATCTTAGAATTGATATTCTTATTAGTTTAGTAAACTGGAATGATGTTTCTCTTAATTCTTCTCTAGTGCCCTCTGGTTCTCATGTTCCATAAAAAATGTACACTAATTCCCCTGTATCATTACCCTTAAAGACCGTCTTGGGTAGTTCTATATTAACCCATGTAGGGATGGGGAATCCACAACCTCTCTGTACAACCTGTTCCTCTTTTATTTCAAAACCATTCCTCTTGTCTTATCATTATCTGATTGAGCAAAGAATTACTCTTTTATAAGCTCCCTTTAAGTACTGAAAAGATACAATGAGGTAACCTCAGTCTTCTCTTCTTTAGGCTGAGAGAGCTGGGACTGTTCAGCCTTTCTTTGTAAGAAAGGTGCTCCAGCCCCTTGATCATATTTGTGGCCCTCCTCTCGACCCATTCTGACAGATCAATATCCTTTTTGTGCTGGGGGCCCCAGACCTGGACACACTACTCCAAGTGATGTCTTAACAAGGGCAGAGTAGAGGGTGACAACTTCCCTAGTCCCGCTGGGCACTCTTCTGTTGATGCAGCCCAGGATGCAATTGACCTTCTGGGCTGCAGCAAGCATGTACAGCTGGCTCATGTTGAGCTTTTCATTCCATCAGAAGCGCCATGTCCTTCTCTGCAGGACAACAGTCAGTGAGTTCTTCTCCCAGTCTATACTCATGTGTGGGATTTCGCCAACCCAGGTGCAGCACCTTGCACTTGGACTTGTGGAACCTCATTAGGTTCTCATGGGCCCACTTCTTGAGCTTGTCCAGGTCCCTTTGGATGGCATCCCTTCCTTCTGTTCTATCAAGTGCACTACTCAGCTTTGTGCCATCTGCAAACTTGTTGAAGGTGCACTCAATCCCTATGTCACTGATAAAGATATTAAACAGTACCAGTCCCAGGACAGACCCCTGAGGGACATCACTTGTCACTGGCCTCCACCTGGACATAGAGGCATTAACCACCACTCTCTGGGTGCAATCTTCAAGTCAACTCCTTAACCACTGAATGGTCCTCCCATCAAATCCACCCCTCTCCAATTTGGAGACCAGGATGTCATATGGGGCTGTATCACAAACCTTACAGAAATCCAAGCAGATGACATCAGTCAGTCTTCGCTTGTCAGTTGCTGCAGTTCCTCCATTGTAGAAAGCCACCAAATTGGTCAGGCATGATTTACATTTGGTGAAGCCATGCTGCCTGTCTCAGATCACCTCTTTATCTTGTATGAGCCTTGACATTGCTTCTAGCAGGTTCTTTTCCATGATCTTGCCAGGCACAGAGGTGAGTCTCACTGGTGTGTAGTTCCCCAGGTCTTCCTTTCTACTCTTTTAAAAACAGGAGTGATATTTCCCTTTTTCCAGTCACTGGGAATTTTGCCTGCCTGACAGGAATTTTCAAATATGATGGAGAAAGACTTGGCAACTACATAAGCCAATTCCTTCAGGAGCCTGGGATGCATGTCATCAGGTGGTCTCAAACCTGCTCTTCACTTACAGTGAGTGGGACTTTGTTCCCCCAGCCTCCATCTACAGGTTCAGGAAAATGAAAGACTTGGGAAGCCTCAGTGGCAGTGAAAACTGAGGCAATGAAGTTTTTGTGTACCTCAGCCTTCTCCCTGTCTGTCTTTACCTGTTCGTCCTTCTCATCCATGAGAGGGAGTACACTCTCCTTGGCCTTTCTTTTCTGAGCAATGTAGCTATAGACTCCTTTCCTGTTATTCTTTGCATCCCTTGCCAAGCAGAGTTCCATCCATGCCTTGTCTTTCCTTATCCCCTCCCTGTACATCCAGACTGCATCCCTATACTCTTCCTAGATCACATGTCCCTGCTTCCACTGCCTGTGCATTTCCCTCTTGCATGTCAGTTTGACCAGCAGGTCCTTGATCATCCATCCCGGTTGTCTACCCACATTTTTGTGTGGGTGTCTTGCCCACATTTTTACGCAGAGGGATGGAGAGTTCTTGTGCTTTAAGGAAAGCATCCTTATAGAGTTTTCCGTTCAACTCCTTTTTTTTCCTAAGGACAATGTTCCAGATAATCTTACCTAGTAAGTCTTTAAATAGCTTGAAGTTCACTCTTTGGAAGTTCAGGGTCTTGACTTTGCTCTTTTCCAGGCACATATTCATAGAGATCACAAGTTTAACCAGGGCATGGTCACTACAGCCCAGACTGCCTCTAATCTTGACCTCTTTAATGATCTCTTCAGCATTGCTGAGCACCAGGTCAAGTAATGCTTCTCCTCTGGTTGGTTTGTCTAATACAATTTATTTTGTGGAAATAGTGTATTTTATTGAATATACTGTCATTTTTTTCATATTTTTTTTTCATTTGTATATACATCTCCACATAATGTCCATATGATAGAACTAGCAAATATGTTCTGTAATATAGCACTGTAGGTTCATTCATATGTGTGTACTTCCTTCCACTCCAGTCTGTTACTTTGAAAGGATCAGTAAAAAAGTAGTTTATCTATCTCTAACATCATGAAATCCAGCAGTTCTTCCCATCTCTCACTTACCTGCCTTATTTTAAGAGGCATTCATGTGATGCATCAGTTTAAATTAGTTTATTTTAATACATAAATAATAATATAAATAATATCAAATTATCCTAAATATGTGTTTCTGGAAGAAAATAATTGGTCTGATAAAATGTTAATTTGATCTCTCCATCTAATCTGGTGTTCTGACTAACTATAGATGATTAAAAGAAAGGTACAAAGGTACAGGATGCTCTATAATGAGCATGTGATAGAAATGACACTAACAAAAAGACAGTTAAGAAATGACATCTTTCACATGGTAAAAGCAGCCATATTATTATTATTACACATTTGTAAATAATACCAAAAGTGTTAAAATATTATTTCAAATTCAAGTACTTGAAAGCTAAGAAAGGCCAGAACTAAAACTGTTTCCATGGATGGTATTTCAAAAACACAAACCTTTTCTCTTTTTTTTTTTTTTTTTTTAAATACTATAAACACCTTAGAATTATTAGATCCTCATACATTTTTTTTTCTGAAACATCTTTTATTGTACAGTAGATATGATGGGAAAGTCATGAGAAAATCAAATCTATATATTGAAAACAGTTCTATTGTGGGATTTATGCCCTGTTTGCATTTAGATGTTGGACTTTGCTTAGGAAAATTTGACTATGACATTTTTGGCATAAATATTTGGATTAATTCAATATTTAATTACACTAATTTCTATGAACAGCCACAATAAATAATAATAATTTAGAAAAAGAAACATCAGATGGTTGCATTTCTGCACATATTCACTCCTGTTTTCCTATGATAAGTACATAGATGCATATACTGATGCCACCTGTATCTCTATTTGAATCTGGTAAGCGTTTGCACAGATTCCTTTTCTAGCATTATGCCAAAATTTTTCATTGTACAAAAGAAAAAAAAAATATTCTCAGTTTTTCCTGGCCATCTCACAAACATGAAGAATCTTACTTGCTTACTCAAAACAGATCTCTTGAAGATAATTTTTTTCAAGACTTAAGGGGGGTAGAATAAGAGATAAGTTTCATATGACTTTCTAGCAAGAATCTGCACAGCATTTCAGTCAACACCATCAAACAACTTCAGGATTTAGATAAGGCTATCTTCTAAAGGCAAGACTACAGACAGCTAACGAGTTGTGTACACTTACCATAACTTATTCTCAAATGAAATAATGGGATTGAAATTCTCATAAGAATCATGACACTAGTTGCTCACAACCTTATTAACTGTAAGCATGAACCTTACATTCCAGAGGATAAGTACCAAGATAAATACCAAGATCCTGTTGAAGTCAGGGGAAAGTTTCCCAGGTAACTTCCTTATGATTATTCCTATCAAAGAAGTTAATATTTTTCATTAAATGGAGGTTGTTAACTTCAGTTATTATCACTAAGAAGAAAACATTCTTCCACTGCTGCAGATGACTT